AAGGCGATACCGCCAACACTGCGTGACACAGGTCACTTCATGAATTGGTAATAGAAAACGGTTCTTCTGTTCTCACGAGCCCATTCCACCCCCCCCCCCCCCCCCCCCCATATTATGTTGCCTTCTTTCTCGGTTTGTTTTGGCTTCTTGTCACTAAGACCGCCTCTCAAGGAGGCTCGTCTGCAGTCATCGAAAGAAAGGCGGGCTATGGCTTATTGATTATGTTCACGGTGACTCTATCTTCGACGTACTGATTGACTGAACTAATGCTAGTCTCCCATGCTGCAGAGTGATGCTAAGATGCTCGGAACATCCCACGCCCTCCGTTTCTTAAACTAAGAATGGCTTAGATTTTTTTATTTATTTTTTGTTTGTAAGCTTTTTAGTTTTTTTTATTCCTTTATTTTTTCTTACTCTTTTTACTAGAAATTAAAAAAAAAATGTTACGTGCTAATAAAACTTTACAACGTATTTCTGAACATTTTGCGCAAATTGAAGGAAAACCCGTCTAGAACAAGCTGGAAGCGCAGCATATATCCATATCACAATCTGTTGCTGATTCTCTCTAGATTCAAAGTTTATGTACATCGAAGCAGTATTGCGGGCGCTACCGAAAAAGAAAACGAAATACATTAGTCAATATAACTGCAAATAGAAGGAACGGATTATCATCGACCCACGTAACCTCAAAATAAATTTATCGCGTTACCGTTACCTATTTAAAAAAAAAAAAAAACGCAGGCTACGTTTTCTTTAGTTTTTTTATTTATGAATTAAGACGTTTTACTGTTTCGACGTTACAGGTGTGCGTACGAATACGGCCACGCCCGTTCTCCCAGTTTGCACTGGGACAAAGGGCGTGAGCGTTGTGGATTTTTCTGATGTTGGAGTAGAGTAGACAGTTGGGCGAGTTAGTAGTTATTGAACATAGTTACAGTTGCGCACACAGGGACAAGGACAGAGAAGAGGAACACGTAGACGACAGACAAGCGCACACTCACAACTCATGTATTAACGAAAGAAAAGAAAGTGGTACAGAACGCGGAATCCGCTCGAGCGTTGGCCACACAGGCACGAGCGACCACAGGCCCGAGGGCTCGAGGGGGACTGGTAAAATTACACACACGAAAAGGATTTTAAAAAGGCAATTTCCTCCTCTGTTAATGAAACAGACGGAAAGCTAACACATCGCTCGCCCATGCTTAGGATAATGAAAGCTTCAAAAATCTCTCTGGTGTGTTTTTCTTGGTACCTGCCTATTATCTTGGTTTCCGCTAAGGATGGCGTACAATTACAGGATTTACAGTGAAGGGGTAGATGGGAGATTGTGCTCGCGTAGCCGGTCGTTCACACACCGTCTGGTCTGTCCAACGTAGCTTTTACCACATGAAAGGGGGATACTATATACTACACTCAGGGAGCAGGGCACATAAAAGTGGGAGTGGTTCTTGTGGCACGTGTGTTTTTTTTTTTTTTAAATTGTTTACCTTAGCATGAACTTTTTGACAAATTTGAGCCATTTTTCGGGGGGCTGACATCACTAAAGGGACCCCGTAACGGCTCGCCACCTTTTTAAGATTGTGGGAAATTTTATGCATATACGGGACGACCACAATTCTTTTTTTGTATATGCGGTGAGTGCAAGAATTCACGTTAATTGACGCTTAGAAAATAAAAAAAATAAAAAAATACCGTGAAGTATATCGCTTTTTTTTTAAGTTCGCGTTTTTTGAAACTTTAATGGTACGTTACTATATCGCCGAAGAAAATACTGCGTTACCGATAATGCTGAACGCGTTAACGCCAACGATGCTTTAGAGTACTTTCGTAACTTTTAGTGGCGTAAAATAAATGACGTTTTGGGAGATTTGGCAGTCTTCAAACGACACCGGCCTGCCACTAACTCTAGAAGACACATTCCTGAACAGAATAAGTAGACAATCTTTCAGAGGTAGCGCCATCTAGTAGCTGCTCCGCCAATTACCTAGTCGAGTCCACCACTGTCTGGACACGCACTTTGAACGTGTATTGAACACGAGGGTTGCTTCACCGTTGGGCATGAACTCGGCTCAGCTTGCGTCGAAAACGAGTCCTGCGTTAACGTTCGGCGAGGACTCCGATCCATTCACACGCTTTGTGCCCAAGGATGGATGGATGAATGGTAATGGCTATACCCTTTGTAACGGGTGGCAGCTTGCGTCACCTAGTCTAACATTTCGTCATCCCTTCTTTTTAAATTTGTATAAATTTTTTTATAACACAACCCCCCCTTCTTTTTAAAGTGTTTCCACTGCTTATTTTTATCAGTATTTTTACCCCTCCCTCGAGCTTTTCCATCAATCTTCCAATCTTCTCTTAGTTACCGCAATTTCTTCCCTATCCGTTCATCCATCCATGTCTGCAAATCCTCAGTGCCCCCTCCAATTCCGTAATCATCACCCCCAAGAGGGTGGGACGAAGGAAGCCCCGTGCACCTTAAAATCTTTCGCGGTCGCCAAGAGAGGCGACCTCCAGTGCTGCTTGATAGACTTTTGAAAAAAGAGTATATTGGCAACACGATTAATTGACCCCGTAAGTGACTACGTCACAACATGGCGTCTGGGTCCAAACAAGCCGTTGCTAGGGGTATTGACTAATGCATGGAGACTCCACCTGAGGCTAGATTTTTGCTTACAAGTAAATGTTTTTTTGTAAGCAACCTAACTTGTTGATATCTAATTACGAAGATGTTCTTGTCGTTTCAGTGTCGTATTGCACCAATGAAAGCCATTTATGAAGTATTACACCCCGATATGCTTTGGTAGCAGACGACAAACTAGATTTGCTGGCCTCTGTTGCAGCGAGCGTCTTCATTGAATTGCGTCGGTAAACGAGCGACAAAAAGAAGTGCATCGCCGTGGCCGTATAGATCTCCGCAATGTGCGTCTTTTTTTTTTCTGTAAAGAACCCAGTTTAGTTCAGAGGGGTGAAAATGCCGTAAAATCAAACCACGTCATGCAGATCAGTTACGACGACGACCTGAAGTGCATTACCTGCGTAGTGCAGGCCAGCATGAGAAACAAATCGTACGCCGTCGAGGTAAGTCATTTATTATTATTATTACTGAGGTTGTAAGGTTATTAAAGAATCGCATGTCTGTCGCGATTTGGCATTAACCATCGCAGCGATGGTTACAACCAGGTACGAAGCACCCTCGCATAGCGCGAGTCCACAAACAAAATGTGGGACCTCAACCGATTGCCTGAAGTGCTTTTCTCAAGGGTGCAATGCGATCTTTTAGCAGACGATCACCTCGATCGACGCCCGGACTTTCGATAAACCATATTTTGCATCGCACCCCACTACGAATTCTTATAAGTGTCTGAAACTCATTATTTTTCGGACATATATGCAATATCAGAATATCATCTTTATTCACACAATTCAAACGACGGCGTCGGCTTGGCCGGCCTGCGTGTGGCAGACGGCGTACTTCTATCATTCGTCGTCTGCTGCATGCATTTTGAGGACCGGAAGGTGCAGTCGTTAATATTTCAAAAACACAAGCGATTACCGGCACACTTCTGTCGAGACATATAGGACATTCAAGCTCTCTATATCTGTGATTTTTAGAAGTTTAAATGCTACTCCTGATCTTTGAACGGTCGGGTTTTCGTGGCGAAACCTAGCCATATGTATTTGTCCATAACAACGACCCTGGGAACGGTTTGTTTGGACCCATGATGTCACACTTACGGAGTCAATTGAGTTGACACTTGGCGTTAGGCTATACACCGGTCAATATGTCGAAAGAGTAATATCGCCCGGCATAACGAGTCCACACACGCAAGGCGCGGGCCAGGTGATATGAAGGGTATAAGGTTTAAAAGCGCAAACAGACAGGGACAATAGAAAATAACACAAACGACAGGGACAAGGCAGCGTCTTGTCCCTGTCGTTTGTGTTATTTTCTATTGTCCCTGTCTGTTTGCGCTTTTAATCCTTATACCTACCATGGACCAACTAGCCCAAACCAAAGTTTTAATGATATAAAGGGACCGGTAGAGTCACTGAATGTTCCCAGAGTACCGAATTCCATGAAGTCCGCTTACCGGAAGTCAATCCCCGCAGAATCTGGTTCTGATTGGCTGGTTTAGCCCGTGGCGGAAGTTATTAGTCGGCCATTTTGGAGATGAGCCCAAAACAACAAAAAGCGCAAATAAAACGTTTCCGCTTTGCCACAGCGGGTACGCACGGGTGGGAGCTATGGGCATCGATGAGTTAGGACCGAACGGAACGTGCGTTAATTTGCCATTTTTTCCATTTTTTTTTATTGAGTAGGCGCTAATTTGGTTCGCCAAAGAAAATTGCCGGCTCGTTCACTCCCTTCGGTTGCGCTGGCCAGGCACGTAACCAGGATTTTGTTTTGGGGGGGGGGGGGGGGGGGGGGGGGGGCGCCGCCACCCATGAAAAAATGCTGTATGAGGGGGAGGGGGAGAGGAGGACCCAGCAAAATGGAAAATTGAGGGGGGGGGGTGGGCAAAGAAGGGGGAGCCCGGGCCCCATTACCCTCCCCCCACCCCTCCCTGGCTACGTGCCTGGCGCTGGCACTGCGTTTCAAACTTAAGCGGGTTTCACATGCAGCGATTCCGCCGCCCAAATCGCTGCCGCTAGCGGCGCGGCGGCACGAATCGCGAGGTTTCATTTCACATGAGCGTTTTCTGCCGTTGCGATGGCCAATGTTGCTTGCAGCAAGCAGATGCGCAGAGTCGGTTACAGCGGCTTCTAACAACAATTTTTATGCCTTAGTTTTCAGTTTCCCCTTTAATTTAACCTTAATAAATCAAAGAAAAGCGTCGAAAAACTAAATAAACGTTGGTCTTATTTGTTTATGGTTCTTTTTTCAAACTTCGTTTTTGCGGAGGATGTAACCTCGGATCATCCTCAGCAGCGTCACGGGCAGCGCCTTCCTCGGATGTAAACACTCCAACTGATATGGCCGACCCGAACCTCTTGGACATAGTTGGTATTTCCGAAATTGGGGTATGTGCTCATGATCCGGAGTATGTCCGTCTACGAAGACTTGAAGAGTATCTTCTCTTAAGAAAGAAGCAGATCCTGCTTACTCTCCCGAGCCCAAGGCGCTGGTGGGTAAGGCCCATCTGGCAAAACCGCAGGAGAGAGTCGGAGTTCCACACATCGGTGAGTTGTGACCTCGTATTTTGATACCAAGGATTTTCTAGTGGTATTAGTTTTCTCACAATGTAATATATTCGTGCAGATGCCTTTGCTTATAAGTGGGGACACGGAGTACTTCCAGAAGTACTATAAGATGAGACCTGAAAAATTTGAAGAGCTCCATTCCCTGGTCGAAACACCACTCACAAGAGCTTACCTCACGCGGGAGCCGCTATTATCGCGGGCTAGACTTGCCATGACACTCAGGTACTGGGAACTTTCCTGCTTTTCTAATTAGCTCTGATTTATGCACAGACATATGATTTACTGTTCCACCCGCTTTCTTTAAGGTACTTATCGTCTGGAATGCAGATACAGGACATTGCTCTGGCCTTTAGAGTCGGAATCTCGACAGCGGCGGGTGTCATTCACTCCACCTGCAAGATTCTCTGGACAGCTCTCCAACCCCTTTGTCTAAAGGTATGTTGAAAGGCTGGCTGGTCAAATTAGTGATAGAAAATGCTTTGCTTAAGATTAAATTTTGCGCACCTCTTCTATTACCAGTAATTTGTGAGGTGCTTTTAGAGAAATACTGACACTGCTGGGGATTCTAGTATTGAATACGTTTTAAATCGGGAAATAAGCATACTGATTAAGATGGTGCGTCCACGGTGACCGTTCAATGCAGATCCGAGAGCTCAGCTCGCGCACTGCCGTCCGAGCCCCGCTTCTTTTTGCCTGACAATACCTGGGTATACAAGCCGTCACAGTTCGTCAGCGGGTTTCACATGCAGCGATTTTGGCTCTAGAGCGGCGCGATTTCTGCCGTCGCGGCGCTCTGGCCAGCCGCAGCGGCTGAGCGGCACGGTTCCACCTGGTTGGAAATTCTTCGCCGCGGCAGAGCGGCAGCTCTCGCCTTGGCCACTCACAGCGAGGCGTTAAGTCACGTGACAGGAGGAGAAACATTGCGGGAAAGCTGGCGCACAGGACGGTGGCGTTTTCACGTTCTTGAAGCAGACGACAAGCAGAGAAAGTACGCAAGCGACTGGTTTGCGATATCTCTTTTACGGCGGGTCGCGCTTCTTTGCTTCAGCAGTCGCGTCGGAACTGTTCAGTAGATCATTGAGGAGAGGGATTGCTGTCCCCTTCCTCGTAATTTGTTTTCTCAATGAATTACGCGATTCTTTTTTGCTTTCCTCGCCCGAGTACCGACTGTAGCGAGCGCAAGAGACGCTACTTGGTAGCGGGTTGTACGTGCGCTAGTGAGAAAAACAAAAGAAGAAGAACTGAGCGACATTGACATGTTTTTTTCCAACACAGATCGTTGCACCAAGTAAGACGAAACATGTTGCGCCCAGTTCAATGAACTGCTTATCAGTGAACTGTCCAAGCGTCGGGTTCCTTAGGACGCGCAGCTCAAAGAATTTAGGAACAATGGGATCAAAGAGAAACTCGGGGAAGAGGTGACTGAGGCCTTGAAAGTGATCGACAAGACCGGTATGAAACGACTGCACTACTACCGGTTCGCGAGGTTCGGGTCGGTCATATCAGTTGAAGTATGGTGCCTGGATCGCGTCTTTGAATGGTGTGTTTACCGCGGCCAAAAAAGTGGTCCCTCGATTTCCGCCTGATGACGTCATAAAAGTGTTTTGCTGTCGCCGGTCGCGACCCTGGTGGCGTCCCAACAGTTATGGTGTATGTAGCAGATGCCTGTTCTGCTCCAGGTCGCTTTCCACTGTGACAGTTCACGGAAGCTAGTGCAGCCGGAAGTTGGGACGCCTAACGGGACGCCGTGAAGACAGCGACACTCGCGTTCGCTCCTGCTTTTCGCCAGCATTTCTATGGCCAACCGCCAGGATCGCGACAGGCAACAGCATGACTCTCGCGTCATTTGTTGCCACATCGGGACCACTTTTGATGTATGGGCGGGATAGGACGCTAAACACACCAGTCGAAGACGCGCTCCAGGCACCATAGTTGAAGTCTACATCCGAGGAAGGCGCTGCCCATGACGCTGCCGAGGATGATTCGACGTTTGATCCTCCGCGACAACGAAGTTCGAAAGAAAACAAGAACCATAAACAAATAGGATCAAGGTTTATTTAATATTTTAAACGCTTTTTTATTTTATTAAGGTGAAATTAAAGGATAAAATGAAAACTAAGGCATTAAAATTATTGGAAGCCGCTGTAACCTACTGTGAGCATCTGCTTGCTGCAAGCAACATTGGCCATCGCAACCGCAGGAAACGCTCATGTGAAGTGAAACCTCGCGATCCGTGCCACCACGCCGCTAGCGGCAACGATTTCGGCCACGAAATCCCTTCATGTGAAACCCGCGTAGATTAATGGTGCTATATCAATGAAGGCCATCTTGCACAAAGTTGAGCACTTATTATGAAGTTCTGGAGTTGAGTATTGTAATGTAGTATACAGATCATGAAAACCTTAAAACGGTTAAGGGATTAACCAATGTTTACTTATGTTGTTATAAAACAGATTGTAAAGGTATCTGTGTGTGCTTACATATATTATATACCATCGAAAATTGTAGTTTATGAAACTGATTTCAGAACTTCCATGCAGTCGCGTTTGAAATATTTAGAAGGCTCTATTACATGTCTGCTGCTATGACACAATGTCATCACAGGTGCCAACTACTGAGAGATGGCAGGAAGTTGCTGAGGGCTTCCAGAACAAGTGGAATTTCCCCCACTGTGTTGGTGCTGTGGATGGCAAACACATCAAGATTCAGGCACCACCGAATTCTGGTAGCTTATACTACAACTATAAGGTGCAGTTTGCGTCAGTACTTTTTATGAGCTGTATTTCTCACTGCATTTATGATTTGTTGTCATTACAGGGTACGTACTCTATCGTACTAATGGCTGTTGTGGACAGTGACTTGAAGTTCGTTGCTGTAGACGTCGGTGCCTACGGATGACAGAGTGATGGAGGTACCCTAAGTGCCTCTCGGTTCGGTAAATGTCTCGAAAATGGCCTCCTCGGCCTGCCACCACCAAAGCGGCTTCCAAACTCGACAGTAATCGCACCATATGTGTTCTTGGGGGACGAAGCGTTCCACCTACGCCCAGACTTTTTGAGACCATACCCGGGAAAGCACCAGGACGATGACAAACGAATATTCAACTATCGTCTCAGCCGTGCAAGGTGACTTAAAAGCGCTATAACCATGTAGTGAATTGGAGGGGGTGGGCGGGTAGTTTCTAGCAGGGCAGCAAATAGTTTAATTGTTGTTGTTTTTTGTCTGTTTTGTTGCGGGATAATTGTAAAGAATCATTTCCGTGAACCTGTCTCCACTTGTGCAGGAGGTGCGCCGAAAACGCTTTTGGCGTGTTGGCATCAAGGTTTCGGATATTCCGAAGAACCATCAACCTGCTACCAGAACACGCAGACTACGTCGTCATGGCAACTTGCGCACTACACAACTACTTGCGGGAGGACTCCGTCTACATTCCTCCTAGCTACGTTGACAAAGAGGATGCCTATGGCAACATCACGAACGGCAACTGGCGATCGACATTCAAAGACGACGAAACAGTTATGACGGACCTGGAGCCTCCGGTGGGGCACAATTACAGCGGTTCCGCACGTGAAGCGAGAAACCTCTTCTGCTCCTACTTTATGAGCAGGCAAGGGGCCGTACCTTGGCGGCGGACCTCTGCTGGGCTACGTCCTTGAACGGAAGCGCACCTTGTGCTGCGAGCACTTGCAAACTTTTGCATACATTGCATGGTAGACACCATCCAGACGAATAAACAAGCAAAAGGTGTGACTCATTTGTCTTTACTCGCTCTTTACAAGAAGTGCATCAGGGTATCGGCCTTGAGCATACTGAGATAGAATATGTAGAAGTTCCATCTTAAGGTGAGTCTGCATAGACTCGGGTGTCGCCTTTAAGTATGGATCTAGGGAGAGCAGGAAGTGGACAGTAGCATCCATAGGCTTGTGTGCTGCCAGGGCCCCTCTCACAACGTTGAGTTCGTCTTCCACTGCTTCCAAGTCCTGCTTCCGTTTTTGGCTTTTTGCATGTGTCCTAGTCGCTACGCTTTCTCTTGGGCAGCTTCCCGGCTCGGCTGCTTGGGAAGGACCAGCAGCAGAGGTCTCGGCGTAGCCCGGTGACGCAAAAATCAGATTCAGACTGCTTGAGGCGTCCGGCCCCCTTGGGCTCCCTTGAGGCGTCGGACTGTCTGCTGCCGGTTGACTCATGTGTGCCACCGTTAAATCGGTGGCCTCCATGTTGCTGAAGCTTCTAAAAAGAATGTAAATTATTAAATGGGCGGTGCAACAATTTTTCTACTTCGCGCAAATACCACTCAGAGCGGGACACTGACGTTACTGACATATATGAAACACGCGTTCGTCTTTCAACCCACGTAATAGAAATTCCAGAAAAACATTAAAAAAAAAAAAAAAAAAAAAACGAGCAGCGTTCACCCCCTCAACTCGCAGCCAGAACAAGCGGCCATGTGATCTGGAGCCGATTATATGCCGCCAATGTCGATCATAGCCACGCGCTGGGGTTGGCAAAGCATAGGACACGCGCTGAGTTCCAGACATTGCTTATGGCTCGGCTATTGTCGTCGTCGCAGCGATTGGTCACGGGCCACTACCCGAATGCTTCTCGAGCTAGTAATTATTGCAAGCCCAAATCGAGTGCCCACGCAATACTCGAGTCCAATCTATGAACCGCATTCAAATATGGTCATTTGGGGTCTACTGCGATCCCCACGGTACGTCATCAAAATTCGCAAAGGAAAGATTGAATGAAAATGATCGCTTTTGTCCCTGAAATTACACCGCAACAAAAGAGTTTCTTAGCCAGTGGCGTTGCGAGTATCCTTGAGTCCCACTAGTGCCAGTAAGCTCGTGCAAAGTGAAAAACATTCCAATTGAATATCGTTGCACCGCTCCTTTAAGCACTTGTGCTCACACCTATCAATTAATATTGATATTTTCCAACACTTACTTGCGCAAACCTAATGTGTCCCTCAGGAACTGCATTTGGTCCATGTAGGGCCAAACCTTAGATTTTGAGGAAGCTGCAGCCCCACTCTTTTTTGTCCCCTTCTCGTCATTCATTTTTTTTCGGAAAGTGTCCCTCAGGTTCTTCCATCGGGAGTGGACCTCATCCACTGTCACTGAAATGTCAAGTCGTATACAGCGTGATGCATGTTGATTAAAAGGCTGATGATGCTGGACATTTAGATTAACATAGCGCGCATTGCGCATGTTGCCGTCTTCGAGAGCGCTCGTAATACAGTCGACTCAAAAGGGATAAATGACTGTCCTACAGTCGGCGATCCGCATCGAACACAAGCTTTTTGGCTTTGATAACAGTAGAGAGTTTTATCAAACGCTTAACACAATACCGATACGATGCCGGTACAGTCCGGGCGCGCTTAAAAGCATGCTACAAAGTAGTAGCGCAAGCTCCGCTGTACCGGGCTATCGTTTACGATCTGCTAAAACTCTCTAATGTCGTACGCGCCACCAGAGCCCTGCGACAGGCAACGAGCGGGGGCGGGAAGCGCAGCATTGAACGCTTCTAAATTTGGGGTCAACTTTCTGTGCCATTTCGAAGAGCGCGCTTCTATACGCCTCGCAAGTGGGCTCATTTTCGTCTTCTGCGCATAAGAAAGGAAGTAGCGGTGACGTCAGAACGCCGAACTCTGATTGGCTGATCGCGACCCCCTATCTCAGCGTCGTCTGCTCCTTTGCAACGTCGTCTGCGTCTGTCTTACCTTTCCTGCGACTTTCGGAGCGAACTCGACCTCGCCTTTAAGAGAGGGCAGACGAAATAACTCGAGCGGTACGTTGTTTTTGTCTAACAACTAGCAGACGCGCATCAAGGAGGGAAGTCAAAGGACTCCCTGGCGAGGTGTCCCGGGGCGCCGAGGTTTTTTTGCTTAGAACCGAGGCAAGTTCCCTCCCAAATACTTTTTCCCTCCATTCGTGTGCGGCGAGACCCCTCACTCTTTAACGGCGTCGGCGGGTTGGCGCAGTTAACGTCGTCTGCTTTACGTCTGCTAGTCAAAGCGGTCAAAGCGATGGCTGCTTTACCTTTGCTGCGTCTGCCGGAGATTCACCGCTTTTTCATCGGCGAGAGTCACCGTTGCCTCGGGAAACAAGGAGATAACAAGAGGAAGAAATTGACATTTTAATCTAAAACTGAGGTCAGCAATCAAAATATTATACGGGAAGGGTTCACAAGGGTCGCGCGGGCATATTCCACTCGGCACGCCAGCCAGTCGTGGGCAGACGGTCGCCGAGTCGCGGAGAGCCTGCTAGGCCTAACTGCCCAGCTCGTTTGGTCGCGTTCGGTGGGATCGTGGCCGTGGGAGCTTTTCCCGGGTGTTTGTGGATCCAGCGTTTTTGTTCGTCGTGGTCTGTTTCAAGTCCTTTTACTTTTTTCTTGCTGCTTGAAGTCGGGACGCGTCAGAACCGCACGTAAAAAAATAAACGTCCGTGGGTCGTCGCGACCGCGACGTTGTCGGCCATGCTGATTTGATCGTAAGAAGTGCGTAAGACAGCTTCGGAGCTGTCGTAGGATTTTGTCGTAACCTGGGCAAAACTTACGAAAATTTCGTTTCGTGAATACGAATTTGTTCTTAAGTTTTGTCTTACGCACATTTTTGGCGTAAGATCGTTTCGTGAATCCGGCCTCTGCACTTCCGAAAGTCGCAGGAAACGTAAGACAGACGCAGACGATGTTGCGAGCAGACGACGTTGCAAAGGAGCAGACGACGCTCAGATAGGGGGGCGCGATCAGCCAATCAGGGCTCGGCGTTCTGACGTCACCGCTACCCCCTGCGCGAGGAGCAGACGAACTTGCCCTCCGCATAGATTTCGCCGGTGCTCAATGTTCCGAGATTCACGCGCACCCACACAATTGATTTCATAGCGTTGGAATCTTGTCCCCAAGTATAGGAAAGCAGAGAAACATCGAGTTACAACGAGCGAAAGTACGAAGGCAAGCTGGTTATGTCACATTTCTTAGGTAATGTCAAGTGCTTGGTCACAAGCCATGGGCATTGCTGTTCTTGGTCTACTGCGACTGCTGGGAACACCCTGTGCAATTGTTCAGATATCACTATGAGCCACTTTGCAATATTTATTTTAAAAATCAAGACCCCTCACCAGATACGTCCGAATTACTCGGATATTGGGGGGCAGGGGTGGGGGGGCAAACAGAGTTATTTTTTGCCCCGTCCAAGTACGTATTCCTTACATTAAAATTTAGAAATATCTAGGGGGGCGCGAGGAAGGGGAAGGGGGGCCGTCGCCTCCCTCTGTTCTGATACCATGCACTGCCTTTGACGTTTGCTGAATAATTCACATGGTTAAACAGTGTAAAAACGTTGAAACCCGTAGTAGTGCAGTGGTTTCATACCGGTCTTGTCGATCACTTTCACGGCTTCAGTCACCTCTTCCCAGAGTGTCTCTTTCGTCCCACTGTTCCTAAATGCTTTGAGCTGCGCGTCCCAAAGAAGCCGACGCTTGGACACTTCACTTATCAGGAGTTCATTGAACTGGGCGCGATACATTTTCCTACTTGTTGGGCGATCTGTGTTCGAGAAGACACGAAATGTCGCTCAGTTCTTCTTCTTTTATTTTCCCACTAGCGCTCGCACGAGCCGCTTCCGATTAGCGTCTCTTGCGCTCGCTACAGTCGGTACTCAGGTGAGGAAAGCAAAAAGAGCGCTAGCGTCGGAATTTGTTTTCATTGAGAAAAGAAATTCCGAGGAACGGCACAGCCATCCCCCTCCTCCATAATTTCCTGAACAGTTCCGACGCGACTGCTGAGGCAAAGCTCGACCCACCCGAAAAAAACAAACGGCAAACCAGTCGCTGCGTGCTTTCT